ATCAATCTTTTATAAATAAACTGAACACTGCAGACCCTTATCGTTATCAATATAACCGTCTTTTTTTCTTTTTTTTTAATTTTTAACGACAGCTAATCTTTATAATTTTTTGCCCGATAAACTGACACTTAGTTGTTTAGAAAATGTTTCGTCCATTCAGTCGTTTATACACATCAGGATCATTACTTAACAAATTCATTATCAATGCTGCTGTAGGACGTCGGTATTATTCTTCTTCACCATGTCATTATGGAATATGTATAGATATCGATGGCGTTCTTATAAAAGTACCAATTTTCAAAATATATATACATTCTTTTCGAATTAACCATCATGATTAACGAACTAATTCTTGTGATTATGTGGAAAAGGGAACAAAGGCCGTACCTGAAACCAAAAGTGCACTTCGATTTTTGGACGGCGAAAATAAATTAAAAAAGTGAATTTGTACTTGCATTAATTAAGCTTTCCTAATTGAAATTGATATATTTTAATATATATTTATTTATTTATTATTATTTTGTTTTTTTTTACTGTTTTTATTCAAAGAAAGATTCCTTTCATCTTATTAACTAACGGCGGTGGTGTGACAGAAATACAAAAAGCCGAGGAATTGAGTGAAATATTAAACTTTCCAGTTATGTAACTTTTTAATTCATCGTATTTATCAAGCCTAAGATAAATTCTTAACATATTGTTATTTAGATCAAACCATCACAACTAACACTGGCTCATTCCCCAATGCGTCAACTTGTACCTATGTTTAAAGACTCTGAGGTATTGATAATTGGTGGAGCGGGTGATAATTGCAGAATTGTTGCTGAAAGGTTCTTGAATTTTAATAATAATAATGATAGTTTATATTTGAAGATAATAAATTATATTCTTTTTCCTAATAGTTATGGTTTTAACCGAGTTGTAATTCCAAATGATGTATTAGCCTGGAAACCATGTATTTGGCCATTTACCAAGCTTAGTGAAAATGATTTGAAACTTACAAGGGTATTTTATTTAATAATCATTATTCTTAATAATTATATTAAATACTAACGGAATGATTTTAAAAGAAATTGGATTTTTCCAATGTTAAAATTGAAGCTATCATGATGTTTCATGATAGTCGTGACTGTAGGTACTTCATTTTTATGTTCTAAATTGTTGTTTTGTTTAATATGTGTTAAAGTTTCGTTTGACAAATAGGGGGTAGAGATTCACAAATAATATTAGATGTCCTACGAAGTAAAGATGGTTATTTCGAAACTTCTGCCAGTCCCCAAGAACTTTCGACGCGTAACTTTCCTTTATTTTTTTCTAATCCTGATATTGTAAGTCTTCGAGTGTCGTCTTATTATTAGGAAATGTTGTAACTTAATATGTAGTTTACGTTTAAAATGTGGACTCATTTGTTTGTAGATTTGGTCAAATGATTGTCTCATCCCAAGAATGGCTCAAGGCTCTTTTAGGTTGTGTTTAGAACATTTGTATAAGGTTTGTTGAGAAACTTATTAGTGATCCTGACTGATTATTTCGGAAATGTTAGGAGCAACAAATTTCTGGGTTTGGGAGAAAATGCTAATCTATTACGTGATACCGTATTGTCGCGAAATAACGCGCAGGGGTGAAATTAAGAATTTCGACCTAAATTAAGCTTAATTTAG